CAACACGGCTGAGATTGGTACAGCTCGACGTTTCAAAGGAAGAGGTGATCGATTAGAAGGGATACGTACGGCGTCTTCGGTCATCGCGGATCCAGTCCGAGTGGAAGTCGTGGTGATGGCGTGGGTGCCTATCCCACCCCAGCATACGGGACACCCAGTTGAAGTTGGCCATGACGACCGCGATTGCTTCGTTTTTTGTCGTCAGGAATACTTTCGTCTGACGCTCTGTCCGTTTGAATTGACAATCGATCGATCGAGGGATTCGGCGCGGTCGGATCGTGGGAGCAGCAGTCGAGCAGCAAGAGCGAATTGACAGGAGCTCACAGGAGGTAATCCTCTGGATGGAAGCTGACAATTGATCGAAGCCCAAGAAAATCAAGAAGCAGGAAAGAAATGCCAGATTCTGCTCCTGGCTCTGAGGAGGTGCACCAGCGGCCGTCGCATTCTCGTCTGCCCTCCGCGCGGCCAGGTTCCCTGTTTTTGTTGTTGGCGCCAGAGAGAAGGTCCGACAGGAGCTTGTCCTCTTCCTGCCGCAGGTGACGTCGACCGACAGCGGGGCATTCCCTGTGCATGACTGGGGGGGGGGAAGGTGGATCCTTAACAGTTCGCCGCCTTTCATAGTGGTGGATGAGATAATCAGGAACATTGAAGCTCCAATCTACGCTAGTCCCTCCTTGGTCGTCCCCACATCGCTGGCGTGGGAAAGTTGGCTGCGCTGCCACGCTTCACCAGCTGAATCCTGCCGCCGTCACTCACACACCACCAGTCTCAGTCTCGGACCTCTTTTTTTTTTTTCTGTTTTTTTCCCTTGTTTTTCACTCGAGTCTCCAATTTCATGATGAATTTATCTAGCTCGAAATGAGGCAGCCCTTAGCTCAATCGCATAAATGTCCAACGACATGGCATCTCATACCTTTTCTTCAGACCCGCCTTCTCCCACGAAGCAATCAGCTGAGAATCTTCACCATTAGTGAACAGCCCAGAATAGTAGGAGTGCATGAGTGACCAACCTCATCAATTTCATTCGTTTTCGGTCAAAGTTATGTTTCACATATAGTCTCCAAACGAGACCACCCCGACGCTGATGATGTCTCACTCTTGCCCGCTCATCGTCTTCACCCAAGACTCCATGCCATTCATCAAGTCACTTGATTGACCACGAAGGGCCTCTTCTGTCCCCATTGGCTTGCTCTCTGGTTTCTCCATCGTCATCTTCTTCACCTCTCTCATTCCCTCACAATCATAAATGAGAGAAATAGTGTAGAGACAGAAAAAGTGAGCGGTGCTTACCCTCCCATCACCCGCATGCTGGCCGTCTCATCGCTCAGCCTTGACCCCTCGCGAATGGCTGAGGTATGCCCATCTCCCTCATGTGGTAAGACTAGGTCGTGAGTCTTGCCGAATCTCTCGCTGATGATGATACACTCACATCGTCCATCACGCCGTCGCTCCCGTAGTCTCCTTCCATAAGTCAATCACCATGTTCGCGATATTCTGAATAGCCTCCGGCGCGTTCGGCAGATGATGGCCCCCCGGATATCTCACAACCTTGCGCGTACCCCGCTCAGAACACTGCTCAATCAACATCTCGCTCGCCGGCTTCCACGGATCAAACAAGCCGACCACATGGACAGTCGGCAACCGAATCAGCACGTCGTCGGGCACAAAAGGCGGATACGTCCCGCAAAGAAACACCCCAAAGAAGTTGTACGGCACAAACGGCTGCCGCTGCTGCTCAATCAACAGACTCGACGCCGCGCGCGCCCCTTGCGAGAACCCCAGCACGCCGACGTAGGGCCCCGTCTGCTGCACGTACACCTTGAGCATTTCCATCGCCGTGTCCTTTTGCTGCTGGAACTCCTCGGCGGGGATGGAGGGATCGTCGCTGACCCATCGTCGGTACGGCCCGCACCCTTCGAATACGGGGAGTACGCCCGGCCCGGCCTCCGTTTCGATCGGCCCGTCGAGGTAGACGAATTCGAAGCGCGGCTCGAGGACGCGCGAGAGCCTGATGAGTTGAATCTGGAAGATGCCTGCTGAAGAACCGCCTCCGTGCAGACAGAGAATCTTTGGCCGTTCCCGCGGCGCCTCGTTGACTGCGTACGGCTGATACATGGCCTGACTCTGCCCGTGTTGCTGGCGCGCTAAAGAAATACCCGAGAAGCGAGGAAGAGGAGTGGCGTGTGGCGAGTGAACTGGACTCCAGAGAACGGACGAGATAGCGAGTGACAGATACGGCCTTGCGTGAGAACTGTAGAGTGACGTGAAGGATCTTTCTTCCAGAGACCTCCTCACACAGCGTGCGTGGTGCGACTGAAGTGACAGGGCAGTAAATGTGACTGACGGGGATGCAGGTGAGATGAGAGAGAAAGTGGATCATATGCTCGCTCCAGCCTCCAGTTCCCAGGCCCCCCACGGCCCCCAAAGCTCTCGGCCGTTTCGGGCTTCTGCCATCTTGAACCTCCGACGCCCGGCCCCTGGTCTCATCTTTCCAGTTCGCCTTACATAAGCGTAAAGGAAACTCACATCTACCATCTGGCCAACCAAGTCGTCTCTGGGAACTCTATCAGGCAGCATCAAGATTACACGGAAACGTTCTAGTCTGACTCGGGTCGTTGGCGTTGAACTTTGAGGCTGCACTGTTGGAAGACTGTTCAACACTCGTCCGGTTCGGATCCGGCTTATCCGTTGATTCGATGCGTAACCCTAGTGTTTTGGCCATGTGGTGATGGAAGTTAAGTATTCTTAAGCTTTAGAAACCGTGACTTTACTAATATTACAAGGTTAAAGAGGCGATAGACTAATTGATTTATGGTGGCCAATGGGTGGAGATGAGGAATGGTCGGGAGGTGGCACTGACTTCACATTTGCTCATTATAATATTCACTGTCTCGATCTAGTTGAATTTTTGTGCTCTTCACTGTCGCGTCTTCTAAGGGATGTAAACTATAATTGATTCATGTGTTGCTTCTTGGATCTATGAAGCGTATGTAATAATAAACATGCTGAGACGTAAGACCCTTGATGATTTGGCTACCACTCTGTTATCTTTGGAAACAGCTGCAGCTTAGAGTGTAAATCCTCCGACTCAATAGTTTCCACTTCGCAGATGAATCGTAGAGCACGGCGATTTGCGACATTCTGCCACGGCTCGATAACCCCATCGCGAATCTCCAGTTGCCATGTCGCTGCAATTGAGAGTTTCGCGGTCTTATCCTCCCCAGTATCAAATCGGAGGGAAAATGCTACTGACTCCGTGGGACTGAATACTTCCATCATTTCAAGCTTGGGCATATGCGTGGCTGCCATCCCTGCTGCCATTATCAAGAAATTCGTCCCCGCAACGTTACGAGCAAGTCGAGCAGCATGCGCCGTCAGGGCCAAATTAGTAAGGCACGACCAACGACGTGGGTGCTCTGGGTCGTTTGCCGGGGCACCAGTAGATATAGCATCGATGTGGTTTTCGAAAAAGTCTGCGGCATCGATGACGTTGGCCAATGCGACGCGTTCACGCCGGTAGCTCGCCTCCACAGCCGCAGAAACAAGACCGTAGTTGACCGGTCTAGATCGCCAAAGGTCCCAGGGGAAGGTCGTGATTTGTGCTTTCCAAAGGTTCAACGTCTGAATCCTGGGGTTATTAATTACGGCATGCAGGATTTCTTCGCTGGCCGCCTCGCCCGTCCCCTGCTCATTTTGGTCAACAGCAGGCCAGTATAGATATTCGAAATATTGTAGACAGGACATGCTGGAGACGAGCTTTTTCATCAAGCCTCCTGAGAAGCTTTGATAGTATTGCCGGTCCATGGAGAATCTCTCAATGATGGGAACTTGCGGTAATTCCTCAGCTTGAAAATCGGGTTCTGAGAAAGTGCTGAGAAGACGCTTTTTGGCATCCAGAGTCCGGTTTGCCTGTGCTAGATGACGAGAGTATCGATGAAAGGCGTTGCAAGGGTGCATGTGGTTGTTCTTAGCTTTGAAGCTAGCACAAAGTTCAAGTGCGATATGGTGTCCAGGTGTTGCTTTTCCCCACTGTGAAAGCACACAAAATAGGGCCGTCAACGCTTCCGTGACTACTACATTGACTGCCGTTATCGTGTCGCCATCCTCTGGCTGATAGTGTTCTGCGCCGGTGAACTCCGCTGTTCCGATGAGGAGGGTAATATTCCTGACAAGCTTTATCCGATAACCTTTCACAACCTGGTCCAGGCGGCCGATTTCTCTTCCGCAGGACCGAATACACAGACTTTCAAATATCTCAGGCTCAAAGGAATATTGCCATTCCCTCGAGACGCTGGACCAATGTGCCATTTGATGTCTTTCCTTAGCTAGCGGTGGGAGCTTCTCAAGTACCATAAGCCGGAGCTCTTGCGGCAAGGCCTTCCACAATGGGTGGACAGAGCTGCCTGCGTTTCGAGGATTGGCATCGTGCTCCTCATTTGAGCTGAAGATAATATCTGAACATAGCTCCATTGTTGAATGAGGTTTGATGTCTGAGTAAGGATTTAGCGCTTCATCCACGTTTCGATGGTGCGTCTTTTTTCGTATTTGCGTATTCTGTTTCGTTTTCGTTGAGTTGTACAATGAGAAATGATTGAGAGCTGGCGCTACCTTATACCTCGCATGAAAAGTTGTCATTCCGACACCCGGAAGGGCAGCATCTTAGTACACTTCGAAATTTGGGCGGGCACTTGAGACCTTGAAGGCCAACCAAAGTACTTTGTTATCGAATAAGATAAAAGCTTTGTGAGTCACAAGTACGCCAACCGTTCTCACCTCTAGCTAGGTTCTAGTAATGAGCCATGCCATTCATGTTTCACCTACGCACTCATCTTTAAGGCTTTCGGCAGATCCGATGCACTAGCTGTCTATATGTAAGACGTTGACCCATCTCGACATACGCAAGCAGGCAAACACTCGATATTCTTGACGATGTGATTTGCTGGCTAGGTAGCTGGGATTTCAAAGTTCCGTCTGTGCTCTCTGTAACACAGCTAACTTGATTACTTACCCTGAATAAAAGGGGCCTTCTCGAGAGCCTGTCCCTGGATGTGCCAAACACTCCGACCCAGATGCACAAGATGCTCACCAAAGTCCTCCAGAACCTCCTCCACACTAGGCTCCTCCTCGCCTACGGAGTCATCCGCAACATTGTCATCCACGCCGAATGTGAGATCATTCCACATCTTCTTCCAACAAGCAATCGCTCCGATAGCAGCGGGGTGCTTGCTCTGGACATTGGTAGCGATCAAGTAGAAGGATGATCGTTTCTTGTGACTGGTGCGAGGCTTTTTGGCAAAAATGTTGGAGAACTTGCTGAATAGGCGGAGCTGAAGAATGGTTCTCCAAGCCTCGGGCTTATGCAGCAAGATGATCATGGTGCCTCCCGGGCGTAGATGCTCGAGGCTAAGAGCCAGCTGCGCGCAAGAAAGTCTGCGAGCTTCGGACATGTTCTTGTCACGGTAGTCGGCCCGGTCCTGAGTGCGCAGGACCTGACCATCGCAGAAGGCAAGGTCGAAAATGTTGTCTTCGGTCAGCTGACGCTCCGTGTGGAACTTGCTGAAATCGGGATGGTCGGACGGTATGACGGCCTTGCCCATGTCCGCGGCGAGCATAGTGATGTCCATCCATCTCTGATCGAGATAGGGAGTTGGTTGGAGTCGAAGCTTATGACCTCCATCCTCATGGGGAAGACTGAAGCCAATGGCGCGGGACTTCCAATTCATGTCCAAAGCTACGTCGAGGAAACCGCCAGGGGCCATACACATGTCGAGAATGCGACCTTTGCCGATGCCTGCTCTGGAGATGTCGAACGCGCCGGTGGCTGTGTGGATCTCACTGGCAACCTTCTTGATCACTTCGAAGAAGAATTGGCAGACGCGATCATCGGCGTTGTCGGCAGCGTTACGCTGGTTTTCGAAGAAGGTGTCCCCAGCTGCGTTTTCCCATCCCTGCGACCGAGTTCAGTGATTATTCGCCGGCTGAGAAATCATTGCGACTTCATACCTTCTTGCGCAGTGTCTGGAGCTTTGCAAACTCTGGGACGTTGCTCTCCAAGTACTCGTTGATGGCTTGTCTCCGACGATCTCGGACCAAGTCCGCGTCACTCTGCTTCTCGACTTCTATGTGAGCTTGATCAATGAGGGCAGTGATGCCGACTTCGAGGCTCGCCTTGTCAACACTGCTGTTATTCATCATGAGGTTTGCCATGACGCGTGACTCGGCGATGTTGTGGCTAGGGATGTTGTTGCCAGGTTGAGGTTTTGATGTGTAGCTTCGAAAAATGAGTCGATAATATTTCGCTTTAATTTGGGAAAGAAGTAAACTCTTCAATTATTCACGGTTGGAGGAAGGAGCACATTAAATATGAAGACATCCCCGGTCACTCCTTCCAAATACAAAACGAACAGGGAGCCTGAAAGGCAGCCAGCCTTCCATGCGGGAACAAACATGGTGACCCGTGATTCCGTGGAAGGCTGAATCATAGCCCTCTCTTACCGCTGGCATTGAGCATCGATCAATCAAATATTTGGAACCGTGTGATTCAGATCGCACAGCGCTTTGAGAAGGCTTCCAATGGCTTTATGAGACACTCCTTTTGTTTCCCTTCTCTTGCTTTGTTCAGCTGCCTCTGAACTCAGATATCAGGTATGACTTACTCTGATAACAAACACTTTCTAGGTTATTTTCCACCCGAGTGCATACCTTTGCATCTTTCATTGGCTTGTTAATTCCAGTAGAGTCATGCAGCGCCATTTAGGAATGACTACCCCAGGTTCTTCACAACAACCAGCACACACTTTAGAGAGACCATAAAACGCAAGTTCGGGAGATCATGAGATGTTTAGTCAAGCTATCAAATAAAATGTTCTCATATTGCGTGGATGTGCTCAGGTTTCTAATAATATCTCAGTCAATAACACATTCCGAGTCTATGAAAAGGCACATAAATCTTTTGACGGAGCCTAACTTACATACCTCAAATCTACTTCTGTCATGGTTTCAAATACTCCAGTCAATGTTTAGACTGAAGTATATCCCTACTGGAGTGCCAAACGCCCTTGACTCCTCTAACAATCTCATACCGCCCATCGTACAGCGGGTACACAACGACGGCAAAGAAAGCAAAAAATTGCCAGATGATCGCCACCGTTGTCCAGCTCTTGAAGAAGGTCTTCTCAAAGATGTAGTCGCGATACAGTGGCATTGGCCAGAGAATGAAAGTAACGAGTACGATGGCGACGAACATGTACCAGGCGATTCGGTACCAGCGGTAGAGCAACTTGATCGTGTCGTCGTCGAATGGGTGGCAAACATCGTCCAGATTGACTTCACCCGCCAGTGCGTTATCTTTGGAAGAGACCGCAGGAGGGAGCTTTTCTCCCGCAGCAGTGACGGTATTCTTTTCCGCGTCACCTGGTTTTTCGGTATTGAATAAAGACGACACGGGCGGTTCTCCTTCCGAATTCGACGAAGTATTTCCGTCATTCTTCGCCTCCTCCTTTTCGGTACTTTCCTTCAACTGAGTCTCTTCTGCTATCTCAGCGACAAGGAATCGTCTCCAATCGAACTTTTCAGGTTTGTAGAGAGACAAAAGTACCGAGTAGAGCGCAGGCGAGAAGAAGGATCCAATTGCTCCATATAGAGCCGGTAAGCTACCTTCTGTGGTCTTCATGTTGATCTCGCCGTAAATGACGTGCGCTGTTCCGAGCCAGATGCCCAATCCCGTAAGGAAACCAAGAATCGGGGATGCAATTGCTGCTAGTCGCGTCTGGCCTGACCAGCACAGAGTCAAGCCAAGCGGAATGATGCCAGGGCAAGAAAGGATAGGACGGAAGTAGCCAATCCAGGTCATATCAGCGCCTCCGTAGTTCAACGCCAGTGAGATGGCCGTGATGAACACGGCATGGAACACCACTGTAAGATGGCTAACATGGACCAATTTCTTATCGGATGCTTTGGGGTTGAGGTACGTTTTGTAGACATCAAAAGATAAGATGCTGCTGACTGCGATCATCGATGAAGAGACGGTGCTCGTCAACGCCATGAACACAAGGACGAGAAAAGCGTCGATGCCCTGGTCGCCAATGAGGGCTTTTATGGTGTATGGCATGACAAGTCCAGCGTTGACCTGTGCCGACGTGAACTCATGTGGGTAGCCTGGCCAGATGGGAGTGTTGTGCAGTGCTCGCGCAGTGAGACCGATTACGGTACCGAGGCCCCACGGGATACCAAAGATTGCTACTGCAGCCAAGTTATATCCTGGAACAGTGGCGTTCACTTCAGTTGCGAATGACTTTTGCCAAAAAGCGGTGTCCTGCCATTTTGATCAGCATCAACTTCTGTGAGCACATGCACGCAACCACTTACCATTACGACAAGAGCCAAGTTTCCAAACTTCAAAATCAATCCCCAAATGATCGCATCTCGAGACTTCATCGTGAGTAGCGAGCCCTTGTAATTCCCGTCAATCAAGTTCTCTGAAGCTGTGGCCACCACCTTATCGTATAGTCCACCAAGCCCACCAACGGCATCATGAGTGAGGACCTTGAGTGTAAAGTAGATGATGAGGATCAGGGCGATGAGAGTATGCAAATAGTCCGTGATGAAGGTGGCCTTTAGCCCACCAACAGCTGTGTAAAGTACGACTGGTTTGTACTATGTCAGTCACGTTCGCGTTTGGGTCAAAAAGCTGGCGTGACCAACCTCCAAGTGGAATGAGAATCGTGGCAGCGACGAAATGCATCCCCGAGATACCATATATCAGTTGCGATCCAGTGAGGATCATACCAGCACAGCCGAAAACGTTATTCGTGATGTTGAGGATAATGAAGACAATGTGACCGATCCATCCGTATCTTAACCGAATGATTTCAAGCGAAGTGTGGGCGTATGGAACCCGAATCTTTGCCAAAACGCCGAGTGCTGCCATCAGGGCAATCTGGAAGCAGAGACCTGTTGACCACCACTACTCAGAGCATCAATGACAACTCCGTCTATCGTATCGTTGGGGCAAATGCACTTACAAAAGGCACAGCAAGGCCAAATTTGTAGCAAAACGCTGCTGAGAATACTGTCTCATTGATCCACATCCAAGAAGAGAACACGGCTGATGCTGTTAAGCCTGTCCCGACCGATCGGTTGGCCACCATGAACATTTCTGAGGTGCCAGAGTCTTCTGCCAGGTACGCCTTTTGGATCTTAACGGCAGCCAGAATAACGCCACAGAAACCAATACCAAGGCCAATGAGCATGCCATAGCTGGTCGACTGAGGAATCAGGGTCTCCCCTGATACACCTAGCTGAACCGACATTGTGACGAGATGTTTGTCTATAAATCCCCTGTGTACGAGCAGGCCGATTTGCGAGTCGATGAGATGGAAAGCGGAGGCTCAAAACACCAAATTTGGAATCCATTGTAAAAGGCCAAGCAGAACTACTTTAACATGAGTCGCTTCCGCAAAGCTTGACTTTGAACCGAGATCGGTATCAAAAGGCCCCAGTTCTTGGTCACATCTTAGCTGCCCCGCATTGCGTTATGAACTCAACCCATGTCGGTAACTACGATTACTTACTTGCCAGCCAGGAATTGATAACAGAAGCCTGCGAGGTGGTATTTGTAGTGTAGACATACTTTAGACTTTTACTTGAATTTAAGCGATTCTGCCGGAGACTTTGCTCGGAGCTTTGCTAGCTTGGTAGATCGCAATCGGTTGCGTGCGATGATGCAATCTGCATATGAGCCACCCACAACGCATCGCGACAAGGCTATTGGATCACATCAGTTACAACAATGCGCGCTATCGGCATTCCTTCGACTTGAGATAAGAGCATAAACTTAGTTTGAGCCGGCAATGTCCAAGCAACCAAAGGGGAAATCAACCGTTTCTAGGGCCATCATTGCTTGAGACCAAAGACTGCAAGACACATAGCATTACGACCGAGACTTAGAGTAGTCTCATCATGGCCGACAACTCAAATCCTACCACAGGCCGGAATGACCCCAACGGCAAGAAGCAACTCATTCTCAATGCCTTTGTAATGAACACACCCGGCCACCTGGCTCCCGGCCTTTGGAAACACCCCCGGAACAAGACAGACCAGTATAAGAAGCTCTCTTTCTGGACCGAGCTCGCCCAGCTACTAGACAACGCCGGATTCCATGCGATGTTCATCGCCGACACCCTAGGCCCTTATGATGTTTATAAGGGACCGGCCAATGTTGTTCCAGCCTTGGCCTCAGGCGCGCAATTCCCAGTCAACGACCCCCTATACCTCGTCCCAGCCATGGCGCAGGCCACGAAGAACCTTATTTTCGGAGTAACTGCGAGCTTAACCTACGAAAAGCCCTACTCGCTTGCAAGACGGCTTTCGACGGTAGATCACCTGAGCGAAGGGCGGTTGGCCTGGAACATTGTCACCTCATACTTGGACAGCGCGGCCCGGAACCATGGGTTGGAGGAGCAGATCCCGCATGATGAGCGTTACGGGATTGCACACGAATATCTCGAAGTTCTCTACAAGCTCTGGGAAGGTAGCTTTCGTGACGATGCAGTCTTGGCGGATCGCGAGGCTGGGACGTACATTGCCAGGGACGCAGTCAGACAGATCCATCACAAGGGCAAGTACTTTGAGGTGCCTGGGCCGCACTTCGTTGAGCCTTCACCTCAGCGAACACCCTTCCTCTTCCAGGCGGGCGTGTCCGAAGCTGGAAACGGCTTTGGTGGTAAACATGGTGAAGCCATCTTCATCGGCGGCCAGACTGCGGATGGTGTCCGAAAGACGGTCGATAATCTGCGCAAGATTGCAGCGGAAGAGGGAAGAGATCCTAACCACATCAAGATCATTCTCGGCATCAACGTCATTGTGTCAGCAACAGATGAAGCGGCCGAAGCGCAGAAACAAGAGTACTTGAAGTACGCGGACACCGAGGGAGCCCTAGCTCTCTTCGGCGGATGGACGGGGATCGATTTGTCTGGGTACCCAGATGATGAGGCCTTCTCGGTGGCTGACTCTCCCCGTATTCAGTCCATCATCCGACGCTGGTCAGATACCGTCCCGGGCACAGATAACCTTCCTTGGACCAAGCGAAGAATTGTGGAATACCTCAGTATCGGCGGTCTAGGTGCCAAGATATTGGGTAGCCCTACCACAGTCGCCGATGAGCTGGAGCGTTGGGTTGAAGTTTCTGACGTGGATGGTTTCAATTTGGCACACGTAACCAATCCAGGTACATTTGAGGACATTATCGAGTATCTACTTCCTGAATTACGCAAACGAGGAATATTCAGGTCCGAGGTCGAGAAGGAGGGTGTCACGGCGAGAGAAGTATTTATTGGCTCGAAACGACTTCCCGAGGACCATCCTGGAAGTAAGTACAAATGGCGCGCCGGTGAGATCGAACCGCCATTTCTGAAGCAGAATGAACTGCTTTGAGGGGCTGAGGAATAATGACAATGACGAAACTTTCTATCAGGGGGAATTCCTCAGGGAGACTTCTGTACTTAGTGAATATCGAAAATTATTGCCAACATCCATAAGGCATTCAGCAAGTCGCCTGGCTATGCACAAATTCCTGGGGGGAGAAAGAAGGATACATGAACCCAGAAACGCTGGTGAGATCTGTAATATTACCTGCAGGGCCATGAGAGGGAAAGAAGCTGCTGTCCGATTAGTCGCTGATGACCCTACTTGAGAGGCTTCTGCTTCGAATTGAACTCACTGCGCATTACCTGGCACTTTGTCTCGAGTGAGACAGTTGAGAAGCTCCTGTACTGCTGCGTGGTCAAACGTCTCAATGAATGCCAAGTTTCCATGGTCCGCATCGAACACCGCAGACGAGCTCTTCTCAGTTGGGCAAGATGAGATGATGAGAGCGTAGCCATGGTCCTCGGCGTGAATGGTGGCTTCCATATCAACGAGAGCAAGCTGCATCTTGCTGTCTTTGAGGACATAGGAACCACCACGCCTATCAATACGCATAGCCTTAGTCGAAGCTTTGTACTGGGAGGGAAGAGTTGTAGACCTACGGGTAAGAGACTACCTGCTCTCTAGGAACAGTGGTATAGTATCCCGCGGCATGCTCGGGCACAATGAGCTTTGCGCCTTGTGCGACATAGTCTACCACACCGAAGGCATGGTCGTGATGATGGTGTGTAGGCTATGGCGATTGGTCAGCGATCCGAATGGATGGGATCTTATGAGAGAGTATGACGAACCCAGACATGCGTAATGTTCTTTCCAAGATTGCCCTGAACCCACTCAATAACAAGCTTGCTCTGATGCGGCGGTGCATCCAAGACAATGACAGAGCCATCCTCGAGCTCAATCAGACCTTGTCTCATTCCCAAATCACCGCCGGGGCTAATGGTCCAGAACCCAGGCAGATCTTGGAGAGGCTGAGCAAATGAAGCGGCGATGGACTCCTTTGTTCCGGTATAGGCACCCGGCCAGAGGAAGTTTGCAGATGTTTCTCCAATCTCCGAGAAGCTATATTGAGTGTCTCGATTTGGAACACTGGAGGCGGGGACAGTACCGTTGCCGGGTACCGCAAAGAAGTCGCTTGGTAGATCACCGTTGATGATGGTCTGGTCAGCGCGATAATCTCCGATGAGATGCTTGCCGTTATAAATGGTCTTGAATCGTTGAGGTACCTGAAATCCCTTAACTTCGTTGTAGTCGTGGACGAGGAGATCGTGAGTGGATTCTCCGAAAAAGGGGTGATCTTCGTAGGATCTAATGATGTAAGGGAGATTGGTGGCAGGATCGAACAGAACTGTTAAGTCCAGCGTATCGTCATGAACTGCGATACAGGTTACAATCATATTTGTAACCAGTTCAAGTGGCCTCTCTTACCTCCGGGCAGCGTTATGCCTGCTCCTGTTGCTCCTTGCCGAGAGGTGAAATTGTTGTTGGAAAGGATCTCGATGCGGCGATTAGTCAAGTGATTAAAATAATTGCTGATGAAGGCATACCGTAGAAAGAAGTAATGGATGCCATTTGTACGCTTCGCTAATCAGGTACGACGCAAGCAAGCCTGCGAAATGGACTAACGTCAGCTCTTGGCAGAATTATCATTGAACTGAATACTAACCGTCAAGATAGCCCTGGGGCTCACCAGAGGGATTGTACAAGTTGTAACTGCCTCTGGTGACAGCTGCGTAGCCATTGCCACCACCCTCGGCAACAATGGAGAAGTCCATCGGCGCAAGGTTTGCCCTTCCGAAGGTCCATCCGGCTGGTCAAAGTTAGGATGGGTACCATAAATAGCCTCATAAGTGGATGCTTACGCCCAAGAGCCGCGACCTTGTCAATGCGTTGCTTAACGTGTTCTTCGTCAAAGGCAAAGGAAACGTTTTGTCGGCCTGCTGTAACGGCAGCATTATCCACACCAGCGACAGAGATTCCCATCATCAAAGTTCTTCCCCTGAGAATACTGCAATTTATTAGTAGCGGAATAGAAAGTAGAATATGAGGCGGCTCACGTTTCGCCGACATATGTTAGGCTTTGGATGGGAGAAATGGCTTCATGCCCTCCAAGGGCTTCTATCCCCAAAGTCAAAAGTACCGAGGGGTCCTGGGTCGTGCCATTTTGGCGAATGTGTAAGTGACCCAAGGTCAGGTGTGCAGCCGCCAAAAGAAACAAACTTATACGTCGAACGAACATCTTTGCGATAGGATGAAGAACAGACGAACAGAAAGCTTGTACAAGATGGTAAGCTTAGTTATAGGTCAGTCAATTCTGCATGGACAACTTTCTCGCAACCAGACCCTGGTGAGCTGCGTAAATTCTTCAGTTGCGTGTATTGCCCCCCCACCCCATGCAACTTTGGATTTACTGAGATGTTGATTTCAAAGCATCGCCATCGTTATTTGTTGCGTAGCATCTAAACAACGTCAATGGAATGTCTTGGGCGGAATTTTACCAAAAAGGGCAATTTCGACGTCGTCACTTCCGATAGTGCGACATTTGCTCCCCCCAAAGCATGATTGAAGCCTAAGGTACCACGTATGATCACTCAGCCAGAGACGGATTACTCCGGGCCATGTCTTAATCATACCTAGTACCGGCAGGGAGGATAACTCAAGTCGTCTGACTATTCCGCAACGCTTGCCTAGAGATAATCTGGACGATGACTAGTGGGGCCAGTTCCGGCTCTTAGATCTTGGCGATATGGGGAATTAGACTTAAGTTCAGGGGATGTCAAGATTGCGGCCTGTTCGCACAAGGGACTAAGTCCGAGGAGCTTAGGTCCGAGGAGCACTCGGCCGGAGTCACCCGAATTACCGTGCGTTATTTGACCCGGAGATAAACTTGTTTCCCGACTCGAAAAGAGTCACTTCGACATAATGAAAAGTAACTCAAGGAAATATCAGACACCCACTGGACGAGTTCTTGAGAGGGAAAAGACAATAATTTTGATGATGACACGTGAATAAATAATCTACTTTTCCTGATATGTCTCTTGGGTTATATGTTTCTATGCAGCATTCACGTGTAACAAATAATCGGTTCCTTTGACTCATGTTCCATAGCGGGAGATCCCCATGATATATGTTGGACCTCCCTAGAGGAATGTCAAAGATACATTGAATCCAAAGGATTTTTTTTTGCCTCTACACATCTATCTCTTGACACCGGTACCGGCGGGGAGCGCCTTGCTGCAATCAGTCAAGTCATTGATGTTGAAGACACCAAGGAGACTCAAACGGAGGTACTGCTTGGCATATGCCTGTAATTTGGTTAGCCATACTCCTGAAGTACTAAGATGGGATTAAGTGTAAACTTACTCCGCCCCAAAGCGGTGCGTTGTTAGCGAAGGCCTGGAATGCCGGAGCCGAACGGGGATCCTTGGACAGAACGGCGTCACTGGGGAAGGTAACAACCTCGGCAGGAGCTCCAGCCAAAGTTTGTCCGTAAAAGTCAACATCCCAGACATTGGGCGTGGTATCCTGCGGGGCGTTGACCTTGGATGTGTCGAAGAAGCGTTGACGGCTGGCAGTGTGCGCACCGACAAGGGCGGCAAGACCAGGGGCACTGATAGTCTTGTTGCCAAACAGCTCGATCAGCTTGTCGGCGGGGTCCTTCGGGTCCGGAAGCAAACCATCGGGAGCAGCCACGGAAGAATCCTTGCGGCCGACGAAAGTCTTGATTCTCGGTCCACCAGGGCATGCCACCGTCGCGGTGTTGGCGGCAAACTGGATCAAGTCTGCCATACCGGCACCGTGATCCTTGTACTTGTCGAACCACGTCTTCATCTGCGATACGATCTCCTCCAAGCCCTTGTTGAGAGGGCGCCCGATTTCCTCGGGAGCGAGAACGATGGAGCCATCGGCACCGCCGAGGTCGCCGGTGTTCAAGCTCCACCCAGCAGCGTCATGGAATCCGAGGCGGATGGCGGCGCGGGCAGGGTCGGTGCAGCCATTGTCGTCACGGAACGTGGGCATCAGGTCGGCAGCGACGTGCTGCCACACACAGCACTTATCCGCGTTGCAGTCGGAGCTGCCGAGATCAGGGAGGTTGCCGCTGGCGGCATCGGACGTGGTTGGCGATCCGGAGCCCGTGAGGATGCCCTTTACATCCTTGCCGACGTCGGACAAGGATCCGTCGGGGATCTTGAGGAGATCGCCGAGATTTTGGTTGTCTGCGGCAGCCTCTCGGCTAGCGAGATGCGCCATCATATCTCCGTGGCTCGTTCCGGCACCGCCCCGTCCCATGCCGGGGTATGCAGTGGCAACGGCTACGAGTGCCGTGAGAGCAATGAGTGCTTTCGATCCGGCCATCTTGCTGGAGAAGTATGGTGACTGGAGGGAGAGAAAGCGAGAGTGTTGTGAACGAAAGTAGTGCCTGTATTAGAGCGAGTGACTGAACGCTGAGTGCTGGACCTACGATTGACGGCAATGATGGGATCGCAAGTGTCTAATTATACCTGAACTCGCTGTAAGATATCGGTGGCAAAGATGCACTCTGTATGCACAGAAGCAGCGCATCCTCACTCATGGCCGTCAGCTCGGCCCTTAGGCGGGAGGCAGGAGTCATTAGCCTGCTTCAGACATCGAAGGCACGGTTGAGATGTTTCGGTCCGCAAGCACGCCAATCTGAATGATAGAGAGGGCACTACAAGCTGTGCATTGGTGCAGCAGAAGAAACCCAACAGAGAACGTTGACGGCTTGGCCCATGTGTCAGGTAGCTCTTTGGTGAATGTCTCTGGCTGCCCGTCCGAAATGTCATCTTGCGTGGCGTTGTAAGCGTCCCGTCTTCAATTGTCAGTCTGATGCCAACCTCCAAGTCAGGGCGCCTGGGGGCCCGAGAGCGTAAGCAGAAAACGCCTCAAACTTTCTCCCTCGTGGGTTTGCTTTCCAGCCGTTCTTTCCGGCCTTTGAGCTTTTGCATGAGCTGAAAATGCCGATTTCCAGTCGCAAAGGCAATTCCATAATGTTCGGACGCCGTAAGTTGACGTTAGCCTCAAGTCAGCGATCATCCCAACCTCAGCCAACCTCGATGAATGCTTCCTGCATTCATACTTCCCCGATATAGTGCCGTCGAAAATTGTCAGAGAGGATGAAAGTTCTATGTTGCCACGCCACTCTTCCTGAATCCTTCCCAGAAGATCGCAAGACTAACCCTGAGGCAAGACACTGTTCTCTGGAATAAGTGTTTCTCCAAGACGCTTGGCTTCAACATAAATTTTCGTTTCAGACCTTAAATGAAGGAATTTGCCTCACAAACGATGCCAAGAAACACTACAGGGTGAAAGATGCGGGAACTAGCTATCGAATGCGCGCCATCGATGTGTCGAATCTGGCGGCTCACGCTGAGCCAAGATGTGGCTAAACAGTCGCCTCCCACATCCCGCCAATGAGAACAGACTCAAAATAATCAAGACGTGTCGGCTGTACGGCAGACTATTCCCTCAGCGGCTCACGGTCTTTAATCGGCGTCGCTAACGTGAGTGCCGGCCGTGCTCCAGTTTCTCGGACATCCGAGCTTACATGTCTGTGCCGGCGGCACCGAACCCAACCACACCCACCTCCCATTCGGGAGGCCGCACATGATTCCTCTTCCAAAAAGAAAGGGAGAGAAAAGAAGAGGTGGAAACTAATGCACATGTCGGCCTTCGCCACAATCCCGGCCCTTTCCAGATTGGCCTAGGACGCCGGCCTCCCGAGATCGATGTTGCACCAATCTAGCCCCGCGTCTGCCGATGGCGTTCTTTGACAGGAACGCGATGACCTAGGATTATTCCCCAGACGGCCGATGACGCGTCTTCGGGCTGGAGGCCGTTCCTGAGGCTCTTTGGCTTTGTAGCATCTTTTGCTCGGAGTTTACCAGTTGAACTGGGGAAAACTATCGAAGCTGTCTTTGCCAACCCAATTGTCTCAAGTTTAAACAGCCGATTGGTACTGGACCACTGAAACGGACTATATATTTCCTCCCGAGCTCCCGGATCGGCATCGGGAAGAAGTAGCCCCCGACACTAGCTTCATTTTCACAGATCCGCTCCCGGAGGATGTAGCGGAACTGTTCGCCGACATATAATACCTGTGGCTAACCGTTTGATCCGTCACAGCAGTTTCGTTGCTTACATGATGAAATCAGATGATCAGAACATACCCAGGTTTGTACGGAAGCCCAGAGGATTGTGCCTTCTGGTGTTTCGGCGGCAACCCTTTCTTTCTTCCACGTCGCAGTGTCGCGCCACCACATGCAGACAAAGCTTCCTGACCTAGAAATAATTCACCTGTCCGCTCAAATCAGTCACAAACTTTTTTGAGCCCCTCCTTTGTCTCCTCCATCGCTCTACTGTCCAAGAGCCAAAGGATCCAAAATGCAAGTCACACATTTACATATTGACCAATCACACTATTGCAGCATCTGTAAGGCATATCATTACGGTCTTGCCTTTTCACTGTCATCATGCGGCAATGAATTATAGATTTGCGGTTTGTCGTTACAACTTTTCAACAGATCCTCTTGAGGAATAAAGTTAGTAAGGACTTTAAATATCCAAGTCCAAGAAGTCTGAAGGCTTGTGAACCTCAAGTGCCGGAATAAAACAGGGCGCTCAAGTTCGAATGGGTTGCCAAGAGCTTCAAGGCAGTCAGCTTACTTGCAGACGATCTACATACAGCTATGTAACACCATGTTACTCCAGCCTGTGCTGCTGTGTGATTCAATGCTACCTTAGATTCACTGCAAAAACGGTGGGCGGCCAGTCCAGACCACAACGGGCGCTACCTCCGTGGTTCAATTGGAGGAAATGGTCGCTTCTTGCATGCTTTTTGCGACATCAACTTTCAAAGAGGACTAGGTTATCCCTCGAAGAACGGTACAGGCGGTAAGAGGGCAGGAAACAATACACGAAAAAAGCTTATAATACTATTAGTACGTGAGGTTGACGCCCTTTGT